TAAATAGCGCCACAACCCTATAACAACAAAAAGAAATAAAACAAGAAAGTACGTCCGAAAAATATTAAAATATGTTTTTGACCCATTAAATGATCACAAACGTTTGAAATTCATCTTAGGTCGTAGCAAAGCAATGAGTTTGATTCATCTTGTCGTTTCTTTTATAGAAAGAATCGTGGATAGAAAACAAGCTGCAAAAACTCTTAAAACACAATTTATGCTGGAATTCGCCAATCTGAGCTGCAGTCCTAGTCCTGCGTCAGATATGTTGAAATGTTATTTACTAACTATAATCCGTTCGTAAAATAGGAGGCACATAAAACATTATTTATGCAAAGATGTGTACATTGTATACATGGACGGAGGCAGAATATATGCCCACTGCACTCTAACTGTTTTTTTCTATGAAAAATGCTCTATTTAAAACTATAAATTACTTATGTACTTAGAAGTGAAGTCTCAGCCCAAACACTCAAATCAAAATACACTTTTATGTTATATACTTTTCCTACTCTTTCACCCTTCTAAGCCATGTAATTTTTCATTAGCTAATGATTTACAATTTTATTGTTCTAAATACCACTTACCCAAAATCATGTGGTTTGACAATAAGCTAATAGCATTGTACCAAAATTTACTTTAATTTTATCATTTGAAGTTGCCCCCACTAAAAAATGTTTTTGGTTCCGTCACATGTGTATGTGACAAAATTGCTTATTTTAATTCAAAATATATGAAGAAAAAAAAAATATTTCACAAGAACATGTATATATAAGTTTATGATAGTCCAACTTACTAACAAGAATGAGTATGTACATTTCATGGTTTTCATTACCTTAAATGTGGCTTAACTTTGCAGTACGCATGCACGTAAACTACAAGAGCTGCTGTAACCAAAGGCAATTTTTATGGGCAGGGCTCTAACTTCTGGTTTCCCTCATATTATCACGCCAAGAAAAGGACTGGTGACCCTAATCTCAAGCAGCAAAGATGATAATTGGATTTATCAATGTTGTTGACATGACACACATGCAATGATATTACAATCATGCAAGTCACTTACTGCCTACTTTAATTCTCCCTTAGTTTCCCCTTAACATGTTTGAGAAAGCAAGTAACACTACAACATGGGTCTCCATTTCTTTCCTAATGATTTTTTTTGGGTCAACTTCTCAAGACACATTACCAACTATTATCTAATATCAAGGTTCTAAAAGACGTTTGACACTACTCGATCGGCGGACTAGGCTTTAACTCCTAGACGACTAAGCGGGACCTAGACAAACTAGGTGGATTTAAGTAAATTTATTATATAATCGTATAAATGAGTGTTTGTTTATACTTAAAAAATACATAAGTACATTGGGATACATAAATTGCAAAATAAAATGGCATAGATTACAAAGTTTTAGAATATAATGAAACCATGGGGAACCAGTATATACTATGTATTCATCTAAGTATTCAACAAGTTTTTTACAATTTTAAAAATAATACATGCAAAATGAAAGTCAATAATATTCTGTCTAAGTGAGAATTGCAACTTAGGCGGGGGTTTAGGCGGTTCTAAGCGGGCTGGGAAGGTTAGGTGGGCGCCTGGACCATCTTAATTTTCAAATGCCTAAAGATTAATCTGGATGGTGGCTAGCCGCCTAGCGCTTAGACGGGGACTAGCCCGCTCTAGGTAGGGACTTTCAGAACAGTGTCCAATATGCAAAAACTAAAACTATATTCGTTGTACATGATCTCAAAGCGGGTTTTTTTTTTTTACTAGGCTTGAATTGGATTTTTATTTTGTTTTGCCCGAATTATCGTGTTCACTACATTGCCTAGATTTTGTGCTTGAATGATTGATGTCACCTGTGATCCACTTTTTGGTGGTTTCACATGAGGGAGCATGTTGAAGAATACCAAATTTTCATATCAAAAAATTAAATTACAACATATATTGAGTGGTTCCACTTCTAATAGGCAATATTAGGGTTTTTATCACAAATGGTCTTTGGAATTTACACTCACCATCAAGATGGTCCCTGAAATTGAAAATCAACTAATGTAGTCCCTGAAAATAGGTGTCTCAAATCAATGTAATCCTTCCGTCATAATGTTGTTAAAAATTTCGTTAAGTGCTGATGTGGCACATAAATGGGCCTCACAAGATTTACGGGTTTTTATCACAAATGGTCACTGAAATTGACTCATAACATCAAGATGGTCCTTCAAATTGATCCACACCATTAAGATGGTCTCTAATATTGAAAATCGATGAATGTAGTCCTTGAAAATAGGTGTCGCAAATCAATATGATATTTCCGACACAATTCTGTAAAAAAATTTGTTATGTGTTGATGTAGGTTTAATAATTAATTAAAAAGTTGTTTAAATACCTTTTTGCGCAATAGAATTTTTTTTTCTTTCTTATAGTAGAACCTACTCCGAATAGAGTGTTGAAATGTGTCGAAGTGTGTCGATCTAGGTTGCACAATGAAATTGACCCTCACCGAAAGTGATCTCGATCTAAGTTCAATTCAGTGAAGGGTGTTAAAGTGTGTAAAAATGAGTGTATTGAGATTTTTTTTTTTTTAGAGAATAGGCTACGAAGGAAGTAGAGGAATGTGGACTGGGATCGAAGGTGATTGCAGAACTGGGTTTTGGCTTCATAACTTTTTATTAACTATTAAATTATTAAACCTATTTATAATTTTTTTTAATTTAATTAGACTTGTATGATCCATTTATGTGTCACATCAGCACATAATAGAAATTTTAACAGAATTGTGACGGAATAACTACATTAATTTGGGACACGTACTTAAGGGACTACATTGATCAATTTTCAATTTCAATGACTATTTTGGACACCGCAGGTCAATTTTAGGGACTATTTTGATGTCACGGATCAATTTCAAGGGTCATTTGTGAGAAAAAAAAATTACTTATGGGACCCATTTATATGCCACATCAATACTTAGCGGAATTTTTAGCAGAATTGTGATGGAAGAACTACATTGATTTGCGACACCTATTTTCAAGAACTACATTAATTGATTTTCAATTTCAAAGACTATATTGATGATGATAGTCAATTTCAAGAATCATAAAAATCTGACAATATTATTCAAGTCGGTGGCAAGACGCAAGTTAAAAGAACCGCAATTGTGTGGCTAATGGTAAGCCGTTGTACCATCTTTGTAAAACCATTGACATATTTCAGTGACGGTGCCCCATCTTCTTGAGTGTTGCTGCTGAGCTCTAAAGAAACTGCATGTAAAGTCAAAGTAATATAATTATACCGCTTGACTATATTACTTCAATAATATTACTTGACATAAAACGCAAAATATATTTTATTTTGGTAAATACAATAGTGATTGTATTTTATTAAAAACAGTACAATCAACTGGAAGAACATCACCAGAACAAACGCAAAAATATATAATTAAAAAATAATATAATGTCACGCGGTCAAATTTCTCAAGCAAGAAAATTCAGATTTATTTCTTAATCCGTTATCTTTCTATTCTTCTACTTAGGAAAACCTTCACTTGGTTATACGGGTTCATCGACACAGAATTCACATTGTACAAAAAATGAAGACTATACATTATGTAATGGAACAATTATTAGGGAAATGATTTCTGTATCATATCAACTTTTATACGAACAATTATGTTTACATTTGTTCTTCGATTCTTCTTGAATTTATTCAATTATTATTTATTATGTAGTGGAACAATTATTAGGAAAATGATTTCCGTATCATATCAACTTTTTTGTGAACAATTATGTTTATATTTGTCCATTGTTTTTTTTTTTTAATTTATTCAATTTAAATGTCAGAAATAAACAAACACGTAAAAGGAAAAAGTGGGAAAAGGGTGTGCATAATTTCCTAACTATTTTACTCACTCTTATACATGAGATGAGATAAGATGGTTAGCATTTTTCTTCTACCCTTTTTTCTACACGATAAATTCCTGGACATAATCATCAACCCTATGATAACAGTCGGAAGTTAGATTTATCACCTCTTAGATACTCTACTTCACCTACAATTTTAATGTTTAAAATTTCAAATAGAGATCTCAAACACGTTTTTGAATTATTCAACAAATATTGCTTACAGTTTTGTTGCCTTCACTACAAGAAAGTGGACATTTAGATTTAGTCATAATATTTGGTAACGACGTGAAAGTTTTTTTGTAACTAAATGTATATTAGTGACAGTTCGTTACTAAACGTTATTTAGTTTTAATAATGTGTTTGTGGCTGTAACTGAAATAATTTTTAAAAATATTAATAAAAAGGTCGTAATGAACTATCTAAGATATAGTCACGATCATTTACTTGTCATGACCACTTTTTCTTTGGTTTGTTGCTTCTTTTAGCGTTTGCTCACATGGCAGGTGGCTAAAATTAGAAAGTAAATTAAAGATAAACAAATAATTAAAGCCATTTTCTCTCTTGTCACAAAGACAAGGCATTTTATCTTCTTTTTTCTTGATGTTTCTTGCTTGAATAACAAAGCAACTGAAAAGTATGAAGGTGGTTGTTGAGCTAACTCACCTCATTGACCCTACCTTTCGCTGGACCATGACCCACAAAGAGGTGATTAGAATTTGGGGTTTGGTTTTTCTGTCATGTCCAAGAATATAGTATGTATCAGAGTTTTAGACCGTTTATTTTTAATTTTATCTGCTTGGTTATTTGTTTACATGTTCTTATTTTTCCAACAAAATTCATCGTGTGACATACCAACCCAGCACCTAAAACACTGCACTCTTCAATTCTCTATGAAAATCTCTCGGTTACCAGTCACCGAATTTCAATAATTCTGTCCACTCCGTCCATCTCATCCTCGAAGAGAGACATAGCGTGCCGGAAGTTCTCCGATTGCTCTTCGAATTCAAGAAATCTCTAAACACAGATGTACATGGAAAAGCTCAGACTAGCTAACTCTTTACTAAATGCTAATGTTGTATTATCGATAGGCTTTGATATATACGGCAAAAACTAGAACTGTCGATATATACTTATATAGTACTTGTTGTCAATGACACAAATTTGTATTGGTGTCCCAAATAACCAAACAAAAATCACACGAACATGTAAAAATATACAATCTACGATGCTAGTGATATTTCTCGAGATATTCAAAATCATAAGTTAACATCAATGCATGGTTATCGAGCAATTCATCATCACTTCAACTCAAATTTTGTGTTTGTCTCTCTGTATGATTGAATCATTGTTTACCCCTAATCTTCTTTTGGTCCTATTTTCCTTCTTCTCTTCTTATTGGTGGAATCGTTGTTGTATGTGTTCCGAGAACCTGTAGCAAGAAAAGGGCAATCAACTGCATTTGACTTTGCATTTCATTAGATTATAACCAAGAACAATGGTAGAAACAACCAAAGCAATAACACTACCTGACGCAACACAAGAATGAAGAACCATGTGTGAAGTTTTTATAAGAAAATATCAAAACGAAAAAAGAAACCAATCCCAAGCTTCGAACTACAATTTCCTCTTTTGGGGCGTCTAATCTTAAACGTTGGGTGCTTCAGGGCTTTGGACTGCAAAAGAAAAAATCGAAAAACTACTTGGGGTTGACAAAATTCTACCTATTTCGATGGAATTTCAAACCCTAAATTTCCACAATTTCCCCCCTCATCGAATCAGTCATTTCTTGCTCGATATACCTAACAGAGTAAATTGGAGTGTCTCATTCCTCAAATACCAAAAGTTATAATCACTATGTCACATACAATAAGAAAGGTTGATTGGGCACTTAAGAATATCGTCAAAGAAATTAAACGAACCTTGTTTCTTGCATCTTCATATGTTAACTCCACAATGACGACACAACCCTCACCTCAAGCCTTCTATCTAGTCAATATTCTTCAAAGACACTAAAAGTCAGGATAAGAATGGACTACTCGAAGAAGATTAAGTAATTTGGAATGCTGCTCTTGCAAATTTGGATCCACAACTAACCTCAGTAAAGTATTTCTTGTGATGAAACACAAACATTTGGAATAAGAAACAATTGATTCCCAAAACGAATAACCAACAGGGCTCAGAATAAACCAGTCACCCTCACGAAATGTGACTTTTTTTTTTGTCCTCATGATACAAAAATTGTCCTTAATATCTACCATGTTTTTCAATTGAAAAAAAAAAAGAAGAGTTTTGTGAGGGACTTTTTATTAGTTCTATCTTGGAAAAAGGACAGAGTAGGGCAGGGAAAAAAATTAAGAACAATCAGACCAAAAGCATATAAATCAAGCATAATCAATCACAATAACAAACAAAAAAAACAAAAATACAGAGAACCGAATATAAGGATAAACACATCAAACCCTAGAAGAAATCAAACGAGAAAGGAGGAGAATGAAAAATGGAAACTATTAGAAATTAGACTCTAGATTAAACTTACTAAGTCCAGTGGATCCTAAAGAGAGTGGAAGAATATCTTGTCCTGGCCTTCGTCGTCAACAGTGGGATTCCTGATTTGGATGAGAGGAACAAAGTGAAGAACAAAATGAACATCTTCCACTCATCCAAATCTCTATTTGGACAAAATGAACAAATACAAATTCTTTATTGTGCACTCTCCTCAGAAACATTTTTAAAAACAAAACGAACATCTTCCGCGAAAGAGTAAATAAACTCATGAACCGTTTCAGACATGGCGACATGGCTAAAGTTCAAGGGGGTATTGCTTAATACGTTCCACAGTAAAAAAACATACAAGTCCTTAGATAAAGATGCTGAAACCAACTACGCAAAAACAAAAGTAAACAGTTTTCAGGACGACACAAAAAAAACAAAAAAAAAGAAAGAAATGTTAACAAAGACCAATAATCAACATGCATTATACCTTAATCAAATAACAAAAACTACTTAGCCTTCAAGTTGTTTTCAGAAACATGTTTGTCCAAAAATGCCTTGGCTAGATTACTGAAACTGACATTTACTGCTCCAGCTGCAGCATATCTCTTCATGACATCAACCACCTCTGGCTTTATAATCTCCTTCTTGTTAGATGCGTTGCATAGATAATATAGGGATCCAATTGCATAATTCACCTAACAATCAATTCAATTTTCAATATAATGTATCAAAAACTGAGTTTCCTTATAAAACACTAATAACCATGTTGATTGACCTAAACATTGGTGCCGTATAATAGTTTGACCAGCACGGATCACTTTAAACCAGTACAATTAGGAAAAAATACAAGTACAGAATCCCAAGTCACATTGGCATAATTCGATATTCCTCCATTTCTATAAGAATCAATAAGCTCCAACTTAATTGTGTTAGTGTTCCTGTTCTATAAGACTTGATCAGGTCCAACTTTCAAATCACATTCTCAGAACAGAAAATTCACAAACGCGCACAAATTTCAAGCAGCTACTTACAGTGTTTCTGACTGGACTTGATAAACATTGAATAACAAGAGAGATTCCTCCACACTGAGCGATAATTGCAGCATTTGCCGGATCTGCATCTTAAAAAATTTAGTTACAAAACACAAAACTCACACACACTATCGATAGATGCTTCCTAGATGGTTGTCTTAAAAACTAATAGCAGCAGACCAATTATACAGGATCACCATAGGGATTAGATAGGTAGACTTACCAGCACAACAATTGCATATCCCTCCTACACCAAATTCCACCAGCTTCTCATTTGGTTCAGTTATGCAGTCCACAAACAATTCCAACACATTGAGCTGTTTGTAATCATAAAATCCTTATCAGGCCAAAACCGTCATGGAAACATCAGTTAAATTGTCTTTTGTAGACAAATCAACTCAACATCAAAACGGTAACAAAAATCAAAATCAATATCGAATTATTTGTATACCTGGCGCAAAAAGGCATAGTTGTAAGGATCATAAGCAAAGTTTGCCAAATTAGCAACAATTTTCTCTTTTGCCTCTGTAAAGAATTGAACAGATGATAGTTGATAAAATAACCATGAGATGAATCAAATGTCATTGACTCATCAGAAGAATTCTAAAATATAGCCTTGTACTCTTCCTACTAATAACAAATTACTAACAAGCCTAAACAAATATTTCCATGCCAACAACAAAAATTCTACTGCTAGCGTTATCACTTATGAGGATCCACAAACATCCGAGAAGGCACATAAATTATCACTGAAGAAAGTGTGGCGCAACTCAAGAGAACCTAAAGAAAACAAACGCCAATGTATCCAAACTAGAGAGCTAGAAAAAGCATGATAAAGCCTCAAACCATAGGCAAACATGAATTACGAGCAGCAAAGCGTAGCGTACCTTCATCATCAGTTGTACTCTGAAATCGAGTCACCAACTCCTGGAACAAAAAGGAATGAGAGACCTTATGAATGGAGTAAAAAGAACAATAACTAATGCATACACAATTAGATGGGACCATTTCCTTTTAAACAAAGGATTAGTGTTGTTGTACCTGAAGGTATTGCAGCCTTGGAGTTCCAGATCTTCCAGTTCGCTCTTCTTGCCTCCGATCATTCGTAAACATTATAACCCGAGTTTGTTTGTGGTGTGGTACTCAATGGAATGGGAATATAAAGTCCCTGTGTTTTTGAAGGTGACTTGCTAAGTCGTCTAGTGGAACGAGGTACAAGAACCTTGCCACACTGCTGCCGTACCAATATTCGTCCTTGCAGACGAATTCAAAACACTGGAAATCGATTTATCTCAAGGCCTTGAAATTGCAGTTTAATCGAAGGAGATGAATCGGACTAGTGACGGGAAGTCAAGAAAGCAAATGATGAACGAAGATGCCGTTAGAGTTTCATGAATTCACATTCACATCAACAAACCAGAACCTCAAATTGAATACTACTAATAAACTGAATGACATTAGACCTCAAAGCAGCCACAACGCCTAGTCTCCTTCCAACACTCCATCACTCTCATTGAGACACATTTTGTGAGGTCATTTCGTAATATATTTAACAATCAAACAGTCTAAGATCATGGCTACCAAAAATCATCCAAGTCCGAAACCATATGAGTATTAGATTAAAGAGTAATTTTTTAGTGTCTCTGAGCAAAACCGTATTTGTCTATTTTCTTCGGTACTAATGAATGTCTTAATATTTTAAATTTGTCTTATAGTTCAGATTTACGGCGCAAGATTTATGCAATCAGAATCTGAAAGCATGTGACAATAGAACAAAATAAATAAATAAAAAGTGTAATTTGCAGAATACTAGAAGCTCTGGAAACTGGGCGGATATAAAGACGTACCAGGGTGGTTCCGGGACCGTCCGGCGACCTGGAAACTGGCTTGGGAAGTCCTCCGGGGACCCCTCGAACTCGAAGCTCTGGTATAATGGCTGCAGAGGAGGGTTGCGGCGGGCCACGCGGCTGTGGAAAGTAGGGAAGAAGAAGACACGGTTCTTTTACATAAGATAAGTGCTGTACACGCGCTGTACGTCTTTCTACCAATGAGAACATACCAACTGTAGTCTCTGTATATATTAAAATATTGGGATGTAAAAAGGGAAGGGACAAAACAGCCACCTTTATTGTCAACCAAAAAGAAGGACCTTTTCTGCCCGAACGTTCGACTCCCAGCCAACGCTCATCTGAGATTTCTGGGTAGCTGGTTCGGAAGTCTTGGATTTGAAGAATGCCGAATTGGGAGCTGAAGAGCTGTTGCAAGCATGACCAGGTCGTCTTCTTGGCCACCATTGGAGTCTTCACCGTTGTCATCCTCGCGGTAATCGCTCTCTACTTTCTCTTTGTTTTTTCAATTCACACAAACTAAAATTGTAGAAACAAGGCTTACGATTGGTCTTTCCGGTGTATTTGTTATGGTTTCTTGAACTTCAAAGTTAAGCGGGTTGAGTCGACTTGTTGACCAGATTGTTGAATCGGGATTTTGAAAAAAGAGGGAAAAGTTGAGGTCAAAGATATCATTTGTTCTTTTGCTTCTTCTTTTTTTTTTCTGAGCAATTTGTTGTTAGTTTTAATGGTTTTGGACTAATTAAGTTGATTTCCGAAACCCCAATTTTATTTTCCACCGGTGTTTATGCTAACTAGCTTAGAAATATATGAATGAAGCTATGTGTTGGATTAGAATATAGCTTAATAACCATTTGGTTAGGATTTGATGGTAGCTTCCAAAATAAGACATTATTTGTTTTAGAGTAATATTGTTAACATGTTACAAGATTTGTTCTTTTCCTTTCCCTGCAAACCAAATGTCACTTTGGAAATAACATTTTGTGACAAGTTTCTATTTTTTTTCATTAAATGGTCAAACAAGAGCAGAAATATATCTACTTTATATTAGAATCAATGTGTAAATGAGGGATTGGTAATCAGGGAAAGATGAAAACATGCAACCAAGATGGTTTGGTCATGTGTAACTAGAGGCTCTCGTCGATAAAATCATTAGCAATCCACCTAGTGGATTTGGGAAAATTCAGAGTGCTGTTTGAGGTTGTATGAAGAGATTTGATGAATTGGGGAAGGATATAAATATAGCAGAATAACATGGACTCACTTATATGATCTGTAGAAAGGCCATGTTATGTTGGCTAGATATATCTTGCATGATTTTTTGATTTTTTAATTTTAATTTTTAATCAATCTCATTGTTAGTTTGGCACTGACTCGATCCAGTTAGCCTTTTGATCTAAATGTTTGTTCTTACTGTTAAAGCTTTGGAGGACAATATTACTCACGCCTTTTAAGCTCATCACGGTCTTCTTGCATGAAGCAAGCCATGCAATTGCTTGCATACTCACATGTGGCAAGGTAAGAAGAAAGTATTTTTTATCTTCTATTCCTTTCTTGTTTCAGTGATGTGGTCAGATCTGAAAAGGAAAGAATTGTTGCTTTCTTATACAAATATCTATTTTCAAGGACTCCAGTTCATCATTTATATTTCTTTCTTGGTGATAGTTTATACACAAGTGCACAGATATAAAATGTAATTGGTTCACTTGTTCACAACTTCAAGCTAGGTAATAGGGATCTTTAACCGACACAGTATCATGTTGTGACGCCAGTATCCTAGTCAAGGATCCAAGGGCAATCATTTTTTCTGTTTACTTTGTGGAGTTTTCATTAGATCAAAAGAAACTAATCTTCTATAGAAGGTTTCCTTATTGTATTAGGGCTGGAGGATTTTCCGCATGACCCTACTTTGTAGAGAAGCTATGGACAAAGTTTGGACAATCAAATAAGATTTAGTGTTCATTTTCTTTAGCCTTGGTGTTATTTCCTCATTGAATTTCTTTGTGTTGTTCAATGTACCAGGCCTTCTGTTGTTTTATTGAATGACTGGTGGTTCAATGTACCAGGCCTTACATTATATAGTGTTTTCACTGAATTTCTTTATGCAGTTTTGGAGTACTCACTCTCGCTGAGTGAACTCAGCTTTGCTAACCATTAATTTAGAACTCAGATCTTGTAGTTCTTTGACCAGTCCTTGTCCTCTTCATAAAAACCATCATTATGTATCATCACCACAGTCCTCATAAGTCAGGACATCCATTTTAACTTCAAGTGATCAAGTCAGCATCCTTCAATCTGAGACCCAATTTCATTATTCAATAGAATACAGGGTATTAGCCTGTTCTGTTTACTTTGATCGCTGATGCTCTCGGTTGTGATAGAAGTAGAGCATTCAATCCAAACCAATTAGCAACATTTGGAGGGGCCAAAGATCTTATACATTGCTATGCTAGGTTTTAAATTTCTGATGTTGAATTATTACACCATATTTTAGGATATCTTACGTAAATATGTCTACTTTTCCAAGTAAATATGTCTACACCAGCGTATTTTGTTGTTCTCTCCCTATTTTTCTGTGCCCTGTTTTGTCCTTGGGCTCAATTCGCTCATGTGTGTGGAACCATGATAACAAAGCCTTGATGAGGGAGCTGGCCGAAGGAAGTTATAATTTGAAAACATTAGGGCAATGAATGAGTTTGGGGATGGTTAAAAGAGCCCAAGGAAAATCAGATATGATCATAATCTCACAAATTGTTAGACAATGTTGTTGGTCACTAGGCTTTAACAGAGCTTCTCAGCTAAAACGGCATTCAAAAATATCATTTCACACAATCCTTTTCAAGTTCAAAGTTTTCTTAGTCTTCAAGCTTGCAAGGTTCTCACTCATTTTCTGTTATTTTCAAACTTTTTCCAAAGTTGTTTGCTTGTTATGTAAGAATTCACGTCTCATGTTGCATGAGTTTGAGTTTAAACACATGTTCACAATTACACTGAATTCTGTTTTATCAAGTCCTTAATTCATCATGGGATTGAAAAGATCCTTAGCTGAAAATGTTCCTCGCTTGTCTTACAATATTCTCTTTAGAAGGTTGATCAATGGCTCGCAATTTACTTTTCTAGACAAGCTTATCAGCGGACTAAAGCTTGTTCTGCTTTGGCCCAGTCTGTTTGAATCAGCAACAGTTTGAAGCAAAGAATTTTGCTATATCTAGTTTATTTTGAATGTCAGATCATGACTCAGTTGTTTAAATAGTGTAAGAGAAAATTAACAGCTCTAAATTGTTGACAAGGAACATACGATTTATGCTACTCTACAAGTGAGAAAGTCCAAATGTATGTGTCTTGTTGCACTAGCTATTCATTGTCAAAGCTTATAGCAAGTTGGAATGTTGCATGTCTTTAATAGTATTCACTCTCGCTATTACTATTGTTGCTAATATTATTTTAATTCTTATCATCATAATTATTGATTATTATTATTATGCTTTTGTTTTATCATTTTCTTACGGTTTCCTGTATATTTCCTGTGCCTTGGCATCTCATAGGTTTTCTAAATGGTTATACTCTCAATAGTTGAAGCTTTCTGATAGTGAATGTTAAGCACAGCTTACTAAGTGTTTCTGTTTTTGAAGACTGACATACACAAAAACACATGTTGCTAACTTGCTACCACCTACCCCTACATTAAATGCCCTTAGCTTCTATGGCAGTTCCCATGTCACTTAATGGATTTTATAGTTTGAATCAATTTGTAGGTGGAGGGCATCCAGGTTCATGCGAATGAGGGTGGGGTGACACAAACACGTGGTGGTATATATTGGTTGATCTTGCCTGCAGGATGTACTACACCTTGTTCCCTAAACTTTATTTTTCATTGCAATGTATCCTTATTTTTATACTTTACGAGACATAAATAATGGGCTTTGAAATGCAATTTTTGACGTTTTTTAGCATGATATGAGTATCCTTCTGGATTTGAGCATACATAGCTCCTCAGTATAAGTTTCTCACTTTCTCACACTTGCATTTGTCGTTCAGAAACTTTTGTCCCTCCTCAGTTTGTCACTTTGTACTTTGTCTTCATCTTCAATATTTGCATGTCTAAGATGTGTCTCAGTTTATGACACAAGCCGAATTGTGTGTGCTGACACTGAACATGGCATCTGATGCTAAAGTAGGACTGTTTCTCATGGGTTCATATTTCATGCATCCCAGTGTTACATGAAAACCATACTGGCTTCAAAAATATGTATTTTTCTTTTTGGTCTTAATTAAAATTGGCTTTGTAGTAAACTAAATAGTTATGAGTTGTATCCAGATCTCGGTTCTCATTGTTTCGTATTTCTTTCTGCATCCAGATCTGGGTTCATCATTTTGGGGAATGGCTTTAATACTTGCATCGACAAATCTCGTAACTGCATCGAATTGCTGCTGGTTGTCTTGGCGTTGCCCTGCTAGTTGTGCTTTTTGTGGCAAAAAATGTAAGAGAGCTCAGTAAAGTTACGCAGACAATAATGTTTTAGCTCCATTCTCATATTCTTTGATTAGAGCTTTCAGGATCTTAGTTTCTTCACTCTTGCGTTCTAAATTCTATTGTTTTATACAGTGGACACTTCGAGGACTTTGTATTGGTGAGTAGCTTCACATGCGTGCAATATGTATTAGTTTTATATTATTCACATACTTCCAGATGTTACTGATCCTTACTGATGAGTCTTTTCAGGATTTATTGTATTCCTTGCTATAGTATGGGTTCTCCAAGAATTAACTAAAGTCCGTATTCTTCGCTACGTCATTCTCTTTATTGGTATGTTCTTATCTTTTCAAATCTTTACTTTCTGAGATGAAGTTCTTCTTAGTTCTGCATCATTGTCACTTCTCATGTGTGCAAAATAAAATGTTGCTTACATTTTACATTGAAATTGCAGGTGTGATGAACAGTTTGTTCTCAGTTTATGGTAATTCTCAGTGATCATTCGTAACATCTATATGTTAGCTATTCTGAACATTAAATTGCAGATTTTATATCACTTGACTGTAATTGTCGCAGATATATATGATGATTTAATATCTAGGAGGGTCAACTCCAGTGATGCTGAAAAATTTGCAGAAATTTGCCCGTGCCCCTGTACTGGGGTTGGATGGGGAGTGATATGGTAAGCCATATAGCATGACAAGCTCAAAGCAGAAACATGAAATTCCTTATCAAAAAATACGTAATTGTACTGATGATAAAGAATTGACGTTTTTTTTTTCATAACATAATAATCTTTATTTGCAGGGGATTGATATCGTTTATATTTCTTTCTGCATCGGTGTATCTAGGGCTTGTCATTCTATCGTGAGGTACAGTCTCCTTCTTCACGGAATTGATTTTACATGTGTATATTTGAGGAGATTTATTTTATACATAATGAAGGTACAAAGTCATGCATTAGAATTTACACCGAAACAAATCAGGAATAACAAAGGCATTCTTCTCCTTGTAGATTTATATGTATAAACACATAAGAAATAAAAATTAAAAAATAAAAAATAAAAAAGAATTCCGTCATTAGTTTAACGATAAACATAGAAGATAATCCTATTCTAACAAACATTTAGAGAAGCCAACAGCAGACCCCGAAGACAATGGAATGGAGTTCTTTGTGGAAAGCTGCATATGTATGTGCGTATGTGATATTTTTAACAGAGGGCTAGATGAATCGTAGGGAAACATGTTCGTAGACGAATTGTAATTAGAAGGTAGATTTTTTCCAACATCTCTACTGCTCTACAATTTTCAGGTCCTGGAGATTTTGTATCAGTCGTCCCATATCCCCCCGGAGAGTCAGCTCTCACTTATTTTTTTCCACTCTTCCTTGATGAGTAGTTGGTTTCATGGCATTTTAGCCACACCTGATTCTTTCAACCCTGTTATTGTGGGTTACTCTTATACTCTAATAGTTGTTGTAAAGTTTGTACTGGTGTTTTACACTCATAACAAAGATTTAAACATATTGATGTGAAGTTTTTATACCTCTAAACATATAGACCGTCATTTTTTTTTTTGAAATTGGTTTGTTCCAACCCATCTCTTTTTTTTTTTTTTTTGAAATTGGTTTGGCCAATGCTTGATGTTGGAGAATCATTGAAATGGTAAAAAAAAGTTTAGATTTATTGACAACATGATAACCGCCTTTCTTGTACAAATGAGTCTCAAATTAAGGTTGATGTGACGGACTGAATCCCCCGTTCCAAGTACTAGTGAATGACATTAATTAAACAAATTACAGTGAACATGTCTAATCAATTGAGCCATTGGATATCTAATCGGTTCTCCAAGAATTCCAATAATTATATTGGTCATCCCTTTACAAGCCTTTCGATTACTCCGAGATGCTCTCTACCAACTAGTGTAGTTGACCTTGCAAGTGGAGCATAATTGGGTTAACTGCTTTGGATAAAACTGGCCACTAGCAAGTTGACTTTATTGCCATATTTTTACTTTACAGTATGTGAGAGTTTTATTGAATTTAAAAATAAAATAAAATAAAAACCTACGGTTGTTTAGAGGATTCATAAATTAAAAGTGTAAGACAAACTTGTAAACAAAATGCACATATCCAAAATTGGAGCCAAGCAGACCAGGAAAATCCAAGAGCAAAGAAGCTGGAACCGTCTGCAAAAGGGAGCCATGCCACACCAAATTTAAGGAAAACAAGCCATTTTAGATAAATGTAAGAGCAAAAAAAAGTTATCTTGCATATAAGAGCCAAACAAATAAACCCTTGTGTATAAAAAGGTCATGGAGGAACAAAGGCATCAGAATGGACACAAGCAAAAATACTAGAAGAATATGTTCGACAAGGAGCCTTGCCATCCAAGGAAACTGTTCCTTCTTAGGTTTAGGAGTTATTATTATATCCTATTTATGATTGTATACTTGTGTTCTTGTATTCTTATATCCCAACCAAAGTGTTACGCCAACATGAACGCGCCAAAGGATTTAACTAGCGACATTGCTTGGCTCCTCATGTTACATCCCGCCCCGGGGCGGATCACTTCCCGGGCCCGCTCCACCACCGTAGCACGATATTGTCCGCTTTGGGCTTACCATTCCCTCACGGTTTTGTTTTTGGGAACTCACGAGCAACTTCCCAGTGGGTCACCCATCATGGGATTGCTCAAGCCCCCTTCTCGCTTAACTTCGGAGTTCCTACGGAACCCGAAGCCAGTGAGCTCCCAAAAGGCCTCGTGCTAGGTAGGGATGGAAATATACATTTAAGGATCACTACCCTGGGCGATGTGGGATGTCACACCTCACATAGAAGAAGTTATTTCTCATAATGACGATGGATCCTTTTACCATACAACATACATAATACAACTATCGTCTCTACAAAAGTTCATTTAATTTCAAAATTGTTGAACTTTTAATATGAATCAAACAAATTGACTATTCATCATAAATATGTTATCTATTGCCATAGTAGTGAACTTTTATTTCACACGTAAAATTATCTCAAAAAAATCTAACTCATTATTTTTCAAACGACACAAGCACAATACATTATAATTTTCGATGTATCTGTAATCTCTCTATCGATCCCCTCTTTATGGATTACAATCACACGCTGCTCTACAACTGGCTGCATAGAATTAAAAGCACTAAAAGGTGATCATGAACTAAATTCATATCAAATCAAAACTCTGTACATTACGAATATTTAGTGCATTTGATTATCTTCTCTTCAGTAGTCGAATGAATACCCATTTGGATGTAAAGGGGGTGGGACAACATAGGGGACTCTTAAGTGGGATATATAGGGTGTCTCGGATTGGATTCGATAATTCATTATATTCAAGGTGTGTTGAAGGAAAAAATGAAAAAATTATCTTCAATTTGAAGGTAGAAACTGAGTTACTTCATTCCAATCCCCAAAATGGTAAGATTAGAACGAATAAATTCCTTTCATCTATAATGCCCTTCCGATCCCCTCAATATAAAATCATTCACCTACTTTCAAGTTTGATCTACACCAATTTAAAGAATCAATATAACAAAAGCAAGTGCCTTGTATTGACTTTTCATAATGTTTCTTCCTAGGTTTAGTATCTTTAGGCCTCATTTGGAAGCTTGTATAAAAAACCGGATAGTACTAATAATCCGAAGCTAATTGTTTGGTGCGTTTATGTACTAAATAGTCATCGGATAATTAATCTGGACCCACCAGTTTTATACGGCATACGCTTGCTTATCTATCCTCTCCACAACCTTGGTATTATTAGTTGGGTTTTTTATTTTTTGTCCAACAATCTCTCGCTCGTTGTGCATCGTCGTGAGGCCATCTCCAACCGAAGGGTCCAGAGGGTCAGAGGGTCGAAAATAGCCCGAAAAACGTCTCCAATCAAGGGCTAGGCCAGAGGCCTGTGGAATCTAAGAGGGCCCCACAGAATCGGAGAGGACTAGAGGGTTGGAGGGCTGGTTGCAAGTAGCCAGCTAGCCAGCCCAGGGCTGGCCAGAAAATACAGCATTCATGTCGGTTATAACCAACAGGAATATATGTATATTAAAAATTAAATGTATTCTTGTCGGTTATAACCGACAAGATTGCTGGAAAAAAAAAATTTGAATACAACGGCTAGTCAGCTAGCCGTTTTATTCAATTTTTTTTTTTTTTAAATTCTTAAAAATTTTAATTTTTTTTCCTATAAATACCTAAACCATTCATTAAATTGAAGTTCTAATTTTTTTGGTTTTTTGGGCCAGTTATCGGTGTAGTTTTTAAATTTAAGTTGTTGGATTTTAATTTAAGTTGTTGTAGTTTTTAAATTTAAATAATAAATTATGTTTGGCCCTATGACCCTTTAGCCCTCGGTTGGAGATGGTTTTTCGTGACAGGACTAAAACAAGCCATTTGGCCGTCAGTTGAAGACGGAGACAAATATGGCCTCGTACTATTCATTAAAATATTAATATCTTGGAGAATCTTGGAAGGCCAGAGGGCTAAAACGAGTCAGCCATCGGTTGGAGATGGCCTGACGTCCTCCCCATGGACTAGATCTAATCAAAGGACTAACAAGTGTAGCCATGGAAAAAATAAAGACTGGATTGGCCATCCAAAGATTCCATTGCCACCCTTCTCCTTCGTTTCCTCCACCTCTTTGAATTTGGAACTGAAAGTTATGGCAATGATTTGAGATTTCCACCAGCCTTCTCTCTTCTTCACCTTCTGTCTCAATTTGATTTATTGGATTGGCAAAGTTTTTCTTCGTTCTGTTTGGGATGATCAAAGGGTGCGCTGTCGTTAAGAGTAAAAGCCACCAGAGTAAGGGCCGTCGTGGGTGTCAGGTCCCGATCCTACGGAGGGGGCAACCTGGAAAGGGCAACCTTAACGGGACGTCATGGGCGTCGGGTCTTTCGAAGGATGGTGTGATGTTATGATCCCACATCGGCTTCCCTTGGGCTTGAGTACCTAACATAATTCTTATCAATGAATTAATTCTTAGGAATTGAGATTTCCACCATTGTTATCAATAGTATGGTGGCGGTGGTGATCGTTGGGCGACCTAGGTTTGTTTCTTCTTTTCTCTAGTTTTTTTGGTTGGTGTAATGGATGTTTGATTGATTATTTATTATCTTTTTTTTCTTCATTTTATCTTTTATAATTTTTTGAAATTTGATTTTTTATTTTATCATCAAATTTTCATTTTAACATCAATTATTTTGTTAATTTTTTTTTAAATATTATAGTTTGGGATATTATTCGACATATAGATTAATCTGATACAACACCAAACGCTCGACTAATTTAGTTAGTACTATCTGACGGTTATTTATCATATCCGACTGAAATGGTCGGTACAGTCCAAGCTGCCAAACGAGACCTTATCTTCATCAGTTGAAGGTTAAAACTAAATCATATGAAATTATTTCATGGATTCCAAACATAGGTGGATGAGAAAGCCGCAATTCTCTCCTTTTTATTGTGTTTTTCAGGTCTCTAACTATTTCATTTAATTTGGATTGATTCACATGGGCAAATTAAACAGCATTCCATAGCTGTGTGTGCATGTATACAGAAGAAATTCCCATGACCCTTGGGAGAGGGAATGAGTCGACCTTTATTCTCCAAACAACGAATTTTGACTACAGTGATCTAAAAGAAGTCAGTATCCATGAACTGTCGCGAAGTCAAAGGTGTAAAATTTTGCCTGTTTTATATTTTGTTGAGCTGCAACTATTTGTGATTGAGATTTGATACAGCAGAAAGAAAGAAACCTAGCTAGTTATATATATATATTCGTTAAAGATTGGATTCGATTGTCAGCTTTTAAATTTTCAGAAGCAACTTCAGACTTTTCAGTAATATATAAACCCATGGAGTGAAGGTTTGATGTCGAATGGAAATTAGTGAAGTTGATGAGATTGAGTTTATAGGAGAAGTTTTCAATTTCCCTCAAAGGCTTCCAATATTCCATGTCAATACTGTGTCCGATCAACGTCAAGTATGGGAATGTTGGGGGCCTGCGAGGGACTTTGAAGCATTGCTCCTTCATTTTTGCTGCCTCTTACGTTCCTTTTGCTCTTCCTTTTCTCGGAAAACTCTCGCACTTCTTTTTCCGGTATAAACCCTAAGCCCTAATAGATCTTTCTCATCTCTTGTGATTAACACTTTATTTGAATGTGAAGGTTTCTCTACTTAACTCAACTGCTATGACTGTTCCGACTATCTCAGGTTAGTTATCAGTTTGTTTTTTAACGTGTATGAACTAATAAGGATTAGTATCATAGCCTTAGTTATACAATTGAAACTTAATAAGGTTAACGACCGACATCAAAATCTGCGTGTTTCTGTGTTGTAATCGACTTACAAAACTAGGGTTTTCAGTTTTTGTTTTGAATCTTTCATGTTTATTAAAACTTTTGATTTAATTATATGAACTTGAAGCATTACGTCATGATATATATGTCTATTTGCATAGCTGTTGTCATGTAATATCTTATAATTCTTATTACCTTGCTATACAGTTGCTAGTAGAT